TAAACTTTATTTCTACCATTATAAACCCTAGGTCGTGAAATTTGGCAGAATACACTCAGCATTAGTATCTCATTTGATTGTTCCAAATCGATCTGGTACATGTACACATGCTCTGGAGCGATGGTTGTCATACAGTTCTTCCTACTCACAGTAGGTGGAGTACTTACAGCACTGGGTTTTAACGACCCTTTTGCCAACATTTCAGCCTTTCCAAGACAATCAAAGCCTTTCCATCCAATCTTACATCTGGAAAGGAAAGAAAGACGAGTCTGATGCACCGAAGCTGTCCTGCGCCTGATCCAAGGTTTCTAGGCCTCTCCTACTCCCTGCTGTATCTCACCGTGTTCTCGCCTCACGGTGCCTTCCTGACCGCACACCTGGCGCAGCGGCACGTGCCCAGCTATCAACTCTCACTGTTGAGGCGAGACCGGTCGTCTCCGGTGAGCCACCCACCCAGTGGCGCACGTCGAGACATTCTTGTTGCCAGTAGAAATGTCCTTGTTCCTAGTAGCGATGCCAGGAGCTACTAGCTTCTTGCTGCTTGGGGGAAGCAAGCCCTACTGACTTGGATAAACAATGTTGTCAATTGTTTTTTCACTGGTGTCTTCGCTCTTTTTCAGACGGCCTGTTTCCCTCATGATCCACGAAGCCTTGGTCATGGAATCTGGGCGTTGCTGGGCGAAGGTGTGAAGCGTCCAGAACCTGAGGCAGAATGACACCCGAATCCGGTGAACATTGGTTCCTGCCCTTGGCCCCACCCAAGTCCGTGTGTTTTGTTTGACTTCGCTCGCCAAACCCGCAGGGGCGCGGGGGCCCTCCTTGGAGTGACCGGAGTCCTTATGTGACTTGGCGTCCGTGGGTGGGTTCCACATGGTTCCTGTGCTGACAGCCACCGAAACTGAAGATGAGGGGTTTTCGTCAAATTGACTCTGCCTTTTCCCCAGACCGGCTGGTTGTTCGTCTTTGGACCAAACTGATGCGAGTGACTTCGGCTCATGTCGGAATCAACAAACAACGTGTTGTGCTTGTGGGTATGATTCTTGAAAGCGTCCAAGACAGAAGGTGGAAAGGTTTTGGGTATCTGAATGGCTCTGGTTTCTTTAAGATCAGTCAGTCCACTTAGTTTTGGGTCCCTGGTTTGTTCAAGACAGATGCAAGTTGACCAAACCTTCTTTTCGGCTCTCTCTTTCGGAGTGAACACGTTCCCTGCACACAGCAATCTCTCCCTTCGGGCTCCTGGTCTTGCCGCGGTGTCTTCCTCCAAAAACCATAAACCCATTATAAAACTCAATGGGAAGTGGTATATTGGAAAATCAATGTGGTATATGGCTTTGTGGCTTTGAAAAGACCTCCGGCCCAATCCAGAGAGCGCAAATCAGAGAGCCCTTGCATCCCCACACGTTTTGTTCAACAAATCTAGTCAGGGGGAAGCAGAAAATAGCATGTCACCGATGAACACGGGCTACAACTGCTAACCACCATGGAGACCATGGTCTGCCATGTATCTCTCACCTTTTCTGCCCGGGATAAGATCGACCATCCGCTTCGGGGTGTTCCACCACCCCAAGGCACCCTCCGGCGCAAGAGCTGCTGGGCGCTCGCGTGGCCGATGCCGTCTTCGTGCTGTGGCTCGCCGGCTGGACGGTGATGGCGCTGGACGCCTTCCACCGGGTGCCACGGGCCGAACGGCGAAGTGCATTCGGTTTGAACACGTGGACGTGACTTTTGTAAGGAAGCTCTTGCAGAGGATGTTCAAAGGAATTTGAACAGAGACATAGAAGCCTTGATCCATGCATTCCAGTCTGCAACCGCAGTTTTTTTGTGGAGGCGCCGGATGCGGGGATGACTCCGACCTTGCTCCTTTTCATGTCTGCCGTGTGAGGAGCTTAGCGCCGGAGAACAGCAGACTCAGTGCATCGACCGAGTCACTCGGGGGCCACACGACCAAGCACCGGAGGTGGGACACCGTATCGCACCGAGCAGCGCACCGATGCATCAGAGCGGTGTGTGTCCACCGGGTTTGGCCCGATGCCACCGGGCAGAGCAGAGCGGCGGGGCGTTGCATCGGCTGAGGTGCCTCGCGCGGCCGGGTCTCTATGGCTTCGAGCTGGGCGTGCTGAACACCGAGCAGGTGCCGGGCAGTACGTGGCCAAAGATGCCGCGACCGGACCGTGGGTCGATACGTGGGAGAAAAAAAGAACTGGAGCCCTAACATGGTGTAGCTACACCTTCCAGGTATAGGTCAACCAAGGTATCCTGGTGCCATGACCCACAGGCACATTGGATGACGGTGGCACATGGACCATGTAGAGACCCTTCGGACGCACGCCTGTCGATGTCCTTCCGAGCCTCTGGCTCTCACTGACTCGGGGAAAGAGATGATTCCTGATCCCTCCCAGAAGTAGGAGCTCTTCACCTTGAGGCAAACCCAAGACACCAGGAGTCACAGAGCTCGGGGGTGGTGTGGCTCGTCACAGAGCCCCCCGGCTCATGGATGTGATGACAGGGGCACCCCGACTTCCTCCAGGTTCAGCATTCCTGTAGAACTGATTCACTGGAACGTGATCGTCGATGTCATTGCGGAAAAAAGAAAAACAACACATGAACCCTAGCCTTCAAAGACCATTAAAAGAACGGTTGAGCTGACGGTGTTGTGTAAAAATCCTTAAGTAAAGCAATGGTTCTTTGGTAAAGACAATTTTAAAAAAATTGTTTGAATCCTAGGGTGAAAATAAGCCATTTTCGTCCTTGGACAGACCCTGCGGCGGTTAACGTGCCCGGCATGCCCAGGACTTCTCTGATGCTCGACATCGATCTGCCATAGGCGCGGGGCCGGTGGGGTTGGTGGGTCCCCAAAATACGCCGCAAAAAGGATCCAAAACTGTTCGAATGTCGTAAAATCGCACAACCCGAGTTGTTTTAAAGAACAAGACAATGGTTCTATCTTTTCTGTGCACACAGATTCTGACACCAAATCATACCAGATCCACATGCTAAACCCTTTCGAAGTGACTTGGCAGATCACCTCCCATTGATGATAGGCTACAACCCATGCGCTATAGACTTTCTTGTGACCAGCGGCGTGCTTGAGCGAACCAGACGTGCCTCCAATCCTGGCAACTTTCTCACCAGAACGCCCCAAACGACTGCTACGCACTAGTTCGTCCCCATCACCTCTCCTTCATAAGAGAAAAGGTAGATAAAGGTAGCCACGTTTGGAAGCATCTCAGATTTGGCCCATACCTGGCCCTCTATGTGAATTTCAGTTCCTTTTATTCACCCCTCCACGTCCTCCATGGCCCTCGAAAACCCGGACTCCGCGAATGACTCGCTCTCTACCGCGCTGGCCAGGTGCCGTGGATTCGGCGCTCACATCCTTCGCCACCTTGGCGATGTACGGCTCCGGGCTGGTGCTCACGCGCCCCGCCCCCTGGACTGCAGTCGGACCACCGAAACGGGCTTGGTGTCAAAGCGAGAGAAACAGGTCATACACGGTATGGGCCGTGTCTTTTCGTGGACTTCATGACCCTTCTACTCATGTCAGTATCCATCTTTCAGCGCAATAACAAACCTTCTGAAGAAGCGACATGCAAAGACCATCAAATGATTGAAGTCAAATAGAGGCGAAGGAATCCCAAAGGGATGGGCAACATCTACGGATGTGGATGAATACCTCTGAGGCTAAGCTGCCAGAATCTATGTGGTGGTAGCCCAAAACCCTTCTTGACGGCCTCGTTCTGGGTGGTTCTTGAAGTCATTTTGCTCCATCCCTTGATGTTGTTCGGTGGTCGAGTCTATTGACGATCCGTTGACCGACGCTTGGACGATCCGTTTGAAGTTCCTTGGACGAGTGGTCAGAGTCGGGTGTGACCGCAGTTGCGCTTCTTGGGTGTGATTTCTGTGTCAACAAAGAGACCTTACCCTTTTCAACCTTACCCTTTTCGCTTGATACTAGACATCCTTGCATGATTTCAACTGATTTCTGTGGTCGCTTCGACTCCACCGAAACGTCGGAACGTGAAACGTCCAGAAGTCGCAAGACCTTTGGAAGACCCTTCCAGCTTCCTCCAGAAGCCGTGACCTCGCTCGTCGGTCTCCACCGTTGACCCCGCACGTCGCTCGGTGACGTCGACCACGTCGCGGAGACTCGTCCGCTTTTAGGATCAGTTCGTGGTGCTGGTCGACGGCTCCACCCTCTTCGTCTCCCTGGGTGCGGCCACTTACCTGTGCCCTGGCAGAGAAAGAAGGTTCGTTTTAATTCGCGACCGGTGCTTTCTTTCTTCGGGAGCGGCAGTGGCGGCAGCAGCAAATGAGGTGAAGAAACAGCATGGGATCCTGAGGATGTGCAAACTCCAGTCTAGTAATTAGGGATCAAGGATGGTGAAAGAAAATAGGATTTCCAAACTTCCGCATCCCGAGCTAATATGTCTTGGGCTTCAAGGAATACAAGTGAAAGCCCCTGAGAAAGCTCTGAAACAAAGTTCAAAGTTCATGGACACCGGATTCAGCTTGAATAGCGGACGGAACCCCTCATCTCAGTTTGTAAAGCCACCAAGGGTGTTTTGCCTTCGCCCGTAGTCGAGAAGAGACCTCAGTTGAGCATCACAAGAATTCCCACAGAGCTCCGCAAGGAATTACTAGCACCCCAAAAGACTCCGTCATCTCCCAAAGTCCAACCGGCGCCGACAAGAGCTCCGCCACATCAACCCACACCCGAGTCCCGCTGGCCGCAGAGGATTTGTGAAGTAGCTCACAGCGTGTTTTTTGGCAAGTGTCAGGTTGAAATAACCACCCCCCGCAGTTTGAATGAGTCATTTTAAGCACACCAAATCTGTATAGCCATAGGTTTTTCTGGGGGTTCATCGGTTCATCACCGTGTTTCAGATGTTTTTGTGTGCCATGTGCTTTCTGAGGGTGTGGCTGCTTTTGTACCATTCGCACAAGCACAGGCCGTGGTTGATGCTCGTGGGTTGGTTGTGGATCTGCTGAAGCAGGCAGACAAGATAGTGCACATAAAGGAGAGCCCTCGAACTGCCTTCCAATTAATTAATTATGTAATTGTAGGACAGTTGCTTGTTTTCATCCAATCTGCATCGCTAGTTATTTCCAAGGATACCTTTTTTGTTGTGGTTGGTTCCTGTTTTCTGATTGTGCTGGCATAACAAATTCATGACTCATTCCTTTCTCAGCCAAAAATCGAGTTTTTGGCCCTTGCCAGGCACAGCACGCCCGGCTCGCCCGTGTCAGGCGACACGCGGAGACACGGAGAGTCGAGTGAGAGGGCTTTGGTCACCAGAAACTTGGATCCCAGGCTTCGGTGAAGGGATACAAGACACGTGATCATCAGCTTTTTGGTTGGGTGAAAACCCCGTCGTTTCCTGTAGGATGTTCCATTTCCAATATTTTTCATATCCTTTCCACTCTGTAATTAATATACCCCATTTGATTGGAGTGTCTCCCCCAACGGGTCTTTGTTTTGTTTGGAATGCGGCTTGGAACTCGGTGCTTGGGACTCGGTCGCACTGTGTGAGTGGCGTCCGACAGCATCCTTCGTTCCGCCTGACTGCAGCGAAGATCCCTCTCTCTCTCTCTCGGTCTCTCTTGCTTGCTTGGCAGGCCGTGAGCATGGCCATGAGCATGGCCACGGCCACGAGCATGGCCACGACCATGATCATGAGGAACATTCCCATACGCTGCAGCAGGAGGAGGCCCAATCAAACCGTGGCTCCAAAACCGGTTCATCGTGGCTGGTAAAGCACATGGTGGCTCCAAAAACCGAGGGGGGTTCCAAAACCTATGAAGTTCAGATTTGCTTTTCCAAAACCAGTTTGTGTTTGAGAAGAGACGATTTTGTCACTGCTTCTGCGGAACAGACCAGATGATCTTTCTTCGACCCGAAAATCCCGGACCTTCCAGGGCTCTGTAGTGCCACCCCGATGTATGGAGGAGATGTTCGACCTCACGGAAGTCTTGCGGAGGAAAGCTAGGTCACATGCACAACATCGAAACCTTCAGGAAGACTGAGACAGAGGTATGTTCTCAACCCGCAACACGTCAGCATTGTTTTTTTGGGGGAGGGACTCCAGTATGGTGCCGGACCGATTCGCAGATGGCGATGAGAGGTCGCATCCTTCCTGCCTGGAATCATTGTACTTGCCTTTGTGCATTTGCCGCTGATCTTTCAGCTTGCTTTAGATTCAGGACGAACGTGATCTGAGCACCGCCAAGAACGAACGAACACAAGATACCATCAGGCCGTGCATTCGCTGGCACATGATTGACTATCCAAGCTGTCGAAACACCGAAAGAGGCAAAGTCTTTTGATGTTGAAAACAAGCTCCAACTGGATCAGTGCAGCTAGCAATTGATCAGAAGTCCGTCTCCAAAAACTCTTCTGACTGAACCCACAGTTTTAGATAGTCTCTCAAATTGCAATAGGTCGTCCACTAGATCAGCGGTCATGGAAACTGGATGAACCGCAAGAGAATCCCCCTGTCCCCTCACCTAAGTGTGAAGAGACAGCAGTCTCCAAGAAAGCCACCCAGCTGCACTGCGCAACCCACCTAACACCCCCGTCACCCCAACACAACAAACCCAGCCAGCACCACAAATCAGCCAAACCAGCCTCGCTTTCAAGCCGTTGTCCGGTGGCCGTGCGGCCATCCAGAGCGCTTGGACGTCGCAGCGGTGGCGTCGCAGCGAGTCGTCCACGGATGGCCTCATGGCGCTCCTCAGGCGAGAGGACACTCGAGTCGCTCCAACGGGACTTTGGATGGTTCCAGCATCCCTTCCCCCCGGCTGCAGTGCTGCAGAATTTGTTGGATGGATACGGGGAATGGGGGTCTGAAGCTTCTGCGCACCTTGGCCACAAAATTAGGTTGCTCTTTTGCAGCATCATGGCCAGTACCAAGGAGTCTTCTCGACAACAAGGACCAATGACTTGGAATTTTGGCTGATCCAATTCCAGCAGCACGAGTTGCGCCGTTCAAGTCTAGCTCCGCACCATCCCACCGCGTCAGCCGGCCGTTTCGACTCCGAAACCGCTGGAAGACGAGCCCGCCCACGGGAGCCCGCCAACGGTTCTCAACGGCGAACCATTTCGCTCATCTCTTTCACCGATGTCCTACAGCTCCGTTTCGCATCCCAAAGATCCCAAATGGGAGACGGCTGGAATCGATCCAGCTTCAACGGTTTCGGGTTGGGGCCGGATGGGGCCGGGACCGAGCCAACGTCTGTCTCCAGGCTCATGCTCTTGGGCCAGGCCTGGGTGGGAAGATGAGCAGTGCAAGAAGTCGCCCAAAGTGACCAGAATCAGCTTCTCTGCGAAAGCCATTTTGGCTCTCACATGTTTGCATTTTCGTCCTAGAGTGCTTTGGGGCCAATTTTTCCATGGAGATTACACTACTCTCAGGTGCCACTGTCATCCAGCTTCATGAGGAGGAGTTGGGCTAAGACGCTCTTGGCCCGTCGGCTTGGGTACTCAAGATTTCGACAAAGACTCTTCAGTGAAGACATTGGCGAGTTACAGGATGAAATGCCGCTAAGACAGCTAGCACGTGTGCAAATGGTAATCCTGGACCTCTATGCGCCTGAGGAGGGCGTGGTATGGCAGGAACTACGCCTTGCATGTGAGAACAATCAACTGAGCGACGTGACAAGGTTGCTTCAGAAACAAATTTGGGGGAGGTGCCGGCAATGAATTATCACCTCTGCATCTTGCAGCAGAACAGGGCCACTTGGAGGTGGTGCGGTTGTTGCTTGAAGCTGGAGCTGACATAAAACTGCAACAGCAGATGGGGCAACCCTTTGATGTTTGCGGCTGAGTCTGGCCACTCAGAGGTGTTGCAGTTGCTGCTCGAAGCTGGAGTTGACAAAAATGCGGCAAAGATGACCAACGGGGCAACTGCTTTGCTTCTTGCATCTGAGAATGGCCACTTGGAAGCGGTGTGGTTGTTGCTGGAGGCTGATGCTGACAAGCATGCGGCAACGGACGATGGTGCAACAGCTCTGTGGGTTGCAGCTGCGAGAGGCCACTTGGAAGTGGTGCGATGCTTGCTGGACGCACGACCTGAGGATGCTGCAACGGAAGATGTGGAAGGAGCTGTGTGGCTTGCATTTTGGAAGTGGTCCGGTTGTTGCTCGAGGCTGGAGCTGAGAAGAATACAGCAAGGGCCAATGGGGAAACTGCTTTGATTCTTGCAGCTGCGCAAGGCCACTTGGAAGTGGTGCGGTTGTTGCTTGAGGCCGGAAGTGACAAGAATGCAGCCCAGGATATTGGGTCCACTGCTTTGATTTTTGCTGCACAGAATAACCACTTAGAAGTGCTGCGGTTGTTGCTCGAAGCTGGAGCTGACAAGAATGCAGCAAGGAAAGACGGGGCAACCGCCTTGATTTTTGCTGCACAGAATAGCTGCTTAGAAGTGCTGCGTTTGTTGCTCAAAGGTGAAGAAAATAAACATGTGGCAAGGAAAGATGGGGCGGAAGCTCTGTGGGTTGCAGCTTCCTGTGGCCACTTAGAAGCGGCGCAGTTGTTGCTCGAAGCTGATGCTGGCAAAGCGAAATGCAGCAATAGCGCTGTTTGCTGCAGCTCAGGAAGGACAATTGCAGGTGGCTCGGATGTTTCTCAAGGCTGGAGCTGACCCGAATGCGGCAGCGGAAGATGGTTCAACCCCCTTGATGGTTGCGGCTCAGTATGGCCACTCAGAGGTGCTGCAGTTGTTGCTCGAAGCTGGAGCTGACAAAAATGTGGCAAAGACAAACGGGGTAACAGCTCTCCTTGTTGCAGCTCAGAATGGCCACGTGGAAAGTTTGTGGCTGTTGCTTGAGGCTGGGGCTGACAAGCATTCGGCGAAAGAACATGACGCAGGCTTTGTGGGTTGCAGCTTGGCATGGACACTTAGAAGTGGTGCAGCTGTTGCTGGGGCTGGAGCTGACATCATTGCAGCAAAGCAAAACGTGGTTAGTAGTAGCTCTGTTTGCTGCAGCTGAGAAAGGCCACTTGGAAGTGGTGCGGTTGTTGCTCAAGGCTGGAGCTGACAAGAATGCCACAGCGCAGGATGGGGCACCCCTCTTGTTGGTTGCAGCTGAGAATGGCCACCTTGAAGTAGTGCACTGTTTGCTCGAGGATGGAGCTGAGAGGAATTCAGCCAGGGCAGATGGGGCAACCGCCTTGCTCGCTGCGGCTCAGTATGGTCACTCAGAAGTGCTGCGGTTGTTGCTCGAAGCTGGAGCTGACAAAAATGCGGCAAAGACAAACGGGGCAACTGCTTTGTTTGTTGCATCTGAGAATGGCCACTTGGAAGCGGTGCGGTTATTGCTCGAGGCTGGAGCTAACAAGAATGCGGCAACGACGATGGTGCAACAGCTCTGTGGGTTGCAGCTGCGAGAGGCCACTTGGAAGTGGTGCGATGCTTGCTGGACGCACGACCTGAGGATGCTGCAACGGAAGATGTGGAAGGAGCTGTGTGGCTTGCATTTCAGAATAGCCAGTAGGAAGTGGTGAGGTTTTTGAACCCATCACGACTTCAAGGAAAAGCACAATAGAAGCTATGTTTGCTGCAGCTGACGAAGGACACGAAGTTGTCCGGATCTTTTGCAAGGCTGGAGCTTTCCGTGCGACAGCGAATGAGGGGTTAACCCTCTTGATGGTGGCACCTAAGAATGGCCACTTGGAACTGGTGCGCTTTGTGCTGACGCTTGGGGCTGACAAAAATGCAGCAAGGGCAGATGGGGCTTCTCAGTGTGTAATGGTATTTTAGTGTGGCTTCCGACCAATCAATATAGATGACAATGACAACCTTGAATGCAAAAAACCTCTGTGATCTCTGTGTGTGTATGCGTGCTAATGATAATGTTTCACTTGGTTGATACAGGAAGAAGATCTTGCACCAAAACGGAGGGCAAGAAGTACCGGCGTGTTCTTTCGCCTAGGTGGTGCCAAGGTTCTTGCTTTCATCAACAGAAGGATATAAAGAAGTATTCTAAATACCGCACTATACCGACAGCCAGGTCCTTGGCCAGCAGAGCCGCTTTGGCAGAAGGGTGGAAAACACAGTCAGCCGGTCACTGTCGGGAAGCATGACTGGGGAGAAGAGAACGACTCCCTTTCGCACCCCGAATCTGGTGGCAGAACCAGATGTTGCCAGATCCCCGGACGAAGGACGACAGTGGTCACCTTCCAATGTGCTCCTTGTGACTTCTTCTGGTCCGAGCATACCGACACCGAGCAATCCGACCGGCGGTCCTCAACGATTCTACCGGTCCGGACGAAGCGGTCCTAAACTCGAGTGCGACCTACGTAGCTTTTTGTTACTAGCAGCGATGGCCTCCAACCTACTTGCGATGGTGGAGGCCCCTCCTGTTCTCAGATATGTGTCAGCATTCCTGCACCTGATGGGCCCAAAAACAGCTCTTCTCAGGTGGCTTTGTAAATCTGCACCGGTGCAGAGAACCCCGCCTTCATCGGTGTCGATCTTGCCCCAGGTACCGACCCCGAGGAGGCAGCGTTCAGCGCGGTCGGCGTACGTTTGGCAATCGGCACGTGAGAAAGTTTCACTGACGCCTTTGGGAGTTGTGCTTTTCATCCGGAAACTGTTTGGGGAAGTGGGTCTTCATGGGCCAAGTACTCACAAGGATGAACTATGGGTGGAGCAGACTCCGAGGCAGACTGGGAGGTGGTGGATGGCGGGAGAGAGCTTTCTCCAAACTCTTGAACCTCTCACCAACTGTGGTGGGTCTCCCGAACCAACACGCAGAAGGTGGGTCTCCCATCCCGGCTTCGTGTCAAAGCCCACCATCCCGGTGGTATGTCTCTGCCATCTCTAAAACCAAGTTTGTCTCGAATGTATGTTGTCTTAACACCCCAGCACACCCCGGACCTCACAACAGCGTCCTCGTGCTCGTCACACCTCGTGCTCTCCACACCGGTCCAACGGCGTCGAACCGGCCAGCCTACGTGTCGCAACGGCCTCCACCGTGCGTAGCTTCTAGATACCAGAAAGCTTCAAAGACATACTAGTTACTAGAAAGATCTAGAAAGCCTTATTGCTACTAGTAGCGATGGCCTCCAACCTAAGAGCTTCTTGCTACAAGTAGCGATGCCCGGGTTCCGTTCGTAGCGATGGCCTCCACCCAGGCCTTTGGCCGACGCGCTTGCAAGTTCCGCCCACTGCCCACCAGCCTGGCCGACGGCGGGACCGGACGTGGCATGAGTCGTATGTGGCATGAGTGGGTCTATATCGGTGCGTCGCAGATCATTCTTCAGGTGGTGGTCTCTATAGAAGAGGGAAATTGAAATCTCTTCTCCACTGGAAACGTGGCTCCACGGGTTTTTGACGTCGACCCATTTCACATCGACCCATGAGTCGAAATGAAAGCCCACACGACCCATGAGGATGTCCCTCCGAAATCCGAATGATGGAAAGCTTCTGGAGCAAACCGACCCCATCCACTGACCCTTCTCCACCAAAAGCACTCCCTCTCCACACCTAACTGCCCAGGGGCTTCCTGACCCTTCGTCCAGGCTACACCACGGCCGAGGGCTACCGGGTGGCGGAGACCTTCGGCGTGCCGCTGGCGGTGCTCCTGGGCGCTGGGCCGCTGGGAATTGAGTGCGTCCGTCGGTCGGCTGCGTCCGTCGGGTCCTTTGGAGTGCAAAAGGTGTTTAGCGATGCACTTGTTCCTAATAGCTTCTTGTTACTACTAGTAAGGCACTTGTTACTAGGTACTTAATGCTCTTGTTACTAGTAGCAGTGCCCTTGTTTATTGTGTTTAGTAATAGATGTTTTGTAGTCTAAGGGAGAGATGAATGGAACTGATGAAGAGCAGTGGCCATTCATTGAACAGTGCAAGCTTGTGTCCAAGAAGCTCACGGGGCTCCTGCTTGACCTGAAAACTGGTCCACCGCAGGTGCCGGGACAAACATGGGAAGTCCCCGGTGACTAGACATTTGTCTGTGCGGTTTGTGCGGTTTCCACATCCAAGTTAGTGACCATTCAACTACCCAAACACCACACCTACATTCCAATCCTTCCCCACCCCAGTTTTCGCTGTTTCGTGAAAGATGTGAAAAATGTCCAACCACCACAGGATCACCTACCTCCCACCCTTCCCACCCTACGCTGAAGATTTGAAGTCTAAGTGTCCCTAAAAATCTATTAAAGGAACCTAATCATGAGTGCGAGCGCGTCTTCAAGGAAGCTCCCCCCGAGCTGTTTGGATCAAGCCCACTCAGCTTACGCGCCGGCACGCGCTGCGGCAAGGTCACCTCTACTCACGAGGGGTCTTGCGTCTACAGAGCTGAGCTGCCCCAAGCTTGGCAGTGCCATGGGTACTAAGGACATGGGTTCAAAGCATGAGCTACATGTCGATGGAGCGTTGATACACTGGGCCACTGCGAGCCTGCCTTCGTCCTTGGCCGTGTCAGTCCAAGACGCTTTGAAGGCCATAGCTGCCACAGGTACATGTGAAGATGACCTTGCTGAGTGGATCCTTTTTGGTGAAGTCGTACTGGTACATTGTGGTCCACCCAAATGTGTACAAGTGCGCCGAACCTCCATGCTCTTTCAAGATGATGTGCTGGCCAATGATGGCTGGAAACAATTTGAGGTCTGCTGTCAAGCCGATCATGCCCGTGTTGACTTCACACCTGGAATGTTCTTGGGCCTCCTCACGAAGCCCTCCCACAGACCGACTGTTGGCAAAGTGACAGCCGATGAGCACGTGCTGATTTGGAACATCTCGATGCTAGACCTGAATCTCGCTTGGAACGTCTCTCACCTGTTCTCAGGGGCGTACGAAGGCTGGTTGAGATCGATGTGCTGGTTGCAGCATGCCAATGTGGGACAGGCCTTTGCAACTCACACGTCCATTGATTGGTGCCCGGATGTCATGAAAACGTGGGCCTACAATCACAACAAAGAATTCTGGTGTGGACCGATTAAGGAGACATATAATCCTGCTGATACATACAATGGGATTTTGGCAAATATTTGCGACCCATCAATCCTGCGTGCTACAACGAACAAGTCCAACCTGGTGCTTACCTTATCACCTCCTTGCCCCAGCTGGAGCAAAGGTGGCAAAAACTCAGGACTTGCGACTGAGGAAGGCTTCCTTTTCCTCGATGCAATTCAGCATGTTGCTCGCAGCAGGCCTGTTCTGGCTTTGTTCGAATGCTCCGATGGTATTGAAGCGCACCCCCATTGGCGGGTGCTCTCTGCTGGACTTCAGCTCGCAGGATATGTCAAGTTGTGGTCACAAGATGTAGCCATCCATCAACTCACCGGTAACCACAGGACCCGTTGGCTTGCCGTCTGGGCTCGAAAGGATGTGAAATGCCAAAAGTCCCACGAGAGGATCTTGTGTCATCAGCAAAGAAGGTTGGCATGGGATGATGCACTACACCTCTTTGGCTTACCCGAAGCCTTGTATTCTGACCTCACTTTGCCAAGTGAACTGACTACGATCTATGGGGACAAAAAGTTCCTTCCACCGGCCAAGCGAGCGAAAGTTGGCGAGAATGCAACCGCTGTGCAGGTATTGTCCTCCAGGGCAATACAGCCGGGTGATTACCTGCCCACTTTGTGTGCCTCTTACACAGCACAGCATAGTCTCCAACGTGAGCATGTCGAGGAGAAAGGCATCTTTGCAGCACTTTTGCATAGAGGTGCTGACTTCCAATTCATTGACCCTTTTGTCTTTGTGTCGCTCTTTGGGACTACTGATTGCATCGCTTTACCAACTGATATTCGACGTGCCTTTCATCAGCTGGGGAATGCCATTTCACAGTTGCATGCTTTGGTAGCTTTTCTTTTTGCCCTTGAAGGTGTCTCAGACGAACAAATCCCCAAGTTGAAGCTTGTTCGCCAGTGCTGGGAAGATAGGCTGACTTCCGATAATGCCATTGTTCGTACTTGCGGTGACATGTACGTGCTCCAGCCCATTGCTGATTTTGCGGCCAAAGCCATTCCTAGCATCAGAACATGGCAGCCTTGGCTAGTTGGAAGCACCCTGATTCGCTTTTGTGATGATGCCGCACTCATCCCGATCAATGTTCAGAAGGATGGCAACATCATTGAGCAATTACTTCATGCTCTTCAGCTGGAATCGCACCATGTAGGACAGCTCAAGCTCGCCCGGGATGGACGAGACCTTCCCAAGGGCACTGGATGGAATAAGTTGTCAGATGGGGATTTTCAGCTCAGATTGGGTTCTGCTGACCTTGGAACGCTGCGGGTCATTTGTGTGAACAGTATAGATCAGCTCGAGGACCCCATTGTGTCCCCCACGCAACCATGGCACTTTGATGAGGCCGATCTGGAGTTTGATCATTTGGTTGAAACCAATAGCAATGGGTTCCTTCATGTGCTTGAACATCTCTGCCAAGATGCCAACCCGGTACATGTTGGTAAGGTGCTATTCCTCCTACAAGATGGTTCTTTTGAATGGATTCACATGGCGAACCTGGAGCGTATCGGCAGCATTCCAACCTTTCGCTTTCAAGGAGCTCCGATCCACTTCTTTCAAATCAACCGAGAAGCTTGCCGAGTCATGTTGGGAACACAGGTGGTCATTGCCATCCGTGGTGAGTATGACCCTCTTGCAAATGGCAAGTGGGTCTTGTTGGCTGGTGGCTCTGATCTCAAATGGTGTAAAATCACCCAAGTACCACGTGGGCTCACTCCAGCGCAGTGTGCAATTGAGCTCCAGCAGCGTTGTCAGATTATCCAACGTAATCTGGTTCAGTGTCGACAGGAACAACCATTGATGCTGATTAATGGGGACCTTCTTTGGTGTGACGTCCGGGTGCAGCAAGCTTCCACTATAGTGTTCGGTGGTATGGACCGACTCACTGATCATCCAAGTTGCAATATCCATGGAGACCGAATAACTGAAAGGCTCCTCCAATTCAACCTTGAGCCAGGTGCACTTGCAGTAGATGAGATTGTCTTTCACTTCGATGTGTTGCAAATTCTGATGCCTTCGATTTGTTGGTGCCCTCCTGCGATGTGGATCAGCAATGAAGCTCAATTCCGATTCCCTCACGAACCTGCGGACTTGTGGCTATGTTTTCAGCACTTCGTGGTACCGATCCTGGTGCTCTTTGACTGGATCTTCGTCGAGGTGAGGTTCTTTGAAGGGCAATGGAGAGTCCTCTATCATTCACCTGAGCAATTGACGCACAGACAACGTCAAGCGGTGCTTGAGCTCATACATTACATGGGGATCCAAGTGATGCCCAATGCTTTTCGGTGGATACGTACTGCTGAGGACTCCGACTTGGCCTCGTGGTACACACTCAGAGGATTCTTTGCCAGGGCAGGAGCGCCGCTTCTTCCTCAGACCCATAGAACCACCCAAAGGCTGCAACGTGTTCAGCACAACCACCATGTGATGCAGGTGATTGATCAGGCTGACTTGGTATGGAGGGATTCTCAGGTTGATGATCGAATGCTGCAATTTGCCCGTGCTGGTAGGAATGCATTCCTGGTTGCCATCCTTGAAGCGCCGAGTCGAGCAGATGATTTGATGCTTCGTGCCACAGGAAGACCTCCTTACGACTATCACATCAATGAGATCTTCTTTGTTGCTGATGAATGGCTGGAGATGAGAATGAATATTTACAGGACACATCCTGGATGGGCTTCCAATGATGAACTTGAATTTGCAATGACATTCTTTTTGCCTGACTCCTTTTGTCCACCGGTGCTGCATCATGATTTGTCCATCATTGCGGCCAGTGTCAAGCCCCTCTCTCAAGAAGTGCAAAGGTTCATTGCGCTTCGGGAAGGGCACTGGATTGGCATCGAGGTCATCTGCAACGCCACCGAACATACATGTCGAGTGGTCTTCTTGCAAGTACCACCACGGGACCAACAGTTTTGGGCCACTTTTGCTGAAGACTTCATTGTCCCAGTTGGGTTTCGTCCAATTATCATTGTCGATACCAATCGTACTTGGCCTGGTATGTGTGGTTAGGAACTACTCCATCGCTGGATTGTTGTGGACTTGTCGTTGCCAGACACTTTCCATATTCCGCAACAGAAGAGGCTGCTCATTGATCAGATCTTGGATGAATCCAATCTGGCATGGAGAGTAGCGCGCGCTCCACCTATGCTTCGTACCTTTGCTGAAAATATGAGGAGGCTCTTTTTGGTGGTTGGCGGGCAACGATTGATGCACCCATGCTCAGCACTTTCCCTTGGAGGAATGGAAGGGTCGACTCCGTCAGATGCTGCGATGGTCTCTCCTGATCCATGGCAGTTTGATGACCCATGGAAGTCCAACAAGAAGTCCGTCAGACAAAGTAAATGGGAAGATCTCCAGCTCCAGGCTGACCACCCGTTTGTTGACAAAAGCAAGACGCCTGTGCCATTCGTCCAAAAGGAGCAGCTCTCCACCAACAAAGGAGGGATTGCCTTCGTTTCCAAAGGGAATTTACAACATGCTCGTGAAGTTGTTCCGAAGGAGCCATGTGCGTTGTTGCTACCAATGATCGATCCCATGGACCCATTGGCAAAAATCGCCAATTTGACAGGTCCCTTCGAAGTCATTGTGTTTGACCCGGCCTTGAACCAGGAGTACAAGAGGCAAG